GTCAATTTTTCACTTTTTTCATGGAAGAAAGAGTCAGAAGACAGTGAACTAGTAAATATAATCCTAGACAAAATATATGGGACTATAATTTTGTTCAGAACCATAAAAAAAGTCCTCTACTATGTTGCAATCCATGCAGTTTGTAGAAATTTCCAAGGTGAATATTTATGTTTTAAATGTAGGCTTGTGGGTCTTCTTATCCAAATAATTCAGACCATCAAAGGAAGAACTAATGAAATTAGGGGAATTGATGAGCTAAATATCAATGTTGTGATGTTGCTTCTTATACAAGTTGAATTTGTGCTTTGAGAATTGGCGGGGGGGGGGGGGTCTAAGAAAATTGTGCTGCTATAGGAGCTTCCTAAATATATTTTTGGAGCAGGCTTCATTGTTCTCCAGTGAGAGAATGCATTTCTATTCCTAAGCACTATTGTAGAATCATTCATTTAATAAAAAAAAATGTGTTCTGCCCTGACTGGTTTGGCTCAGTGGATAGAGCGTCGGCCTGCGGACTGAAGGGTCCCAGGTTTGATTCCGGTCAAGGGCATGTACCTTGGTTGCGGGCACATCCCCAGTGGGGGGGGGGGTGCAGGAGGCAGCTGATCGATGTTTCTCTCTCATCGATGTTTCTAATTCTCTATCCCTCTCCCTTCCTCTCTGTAAAAAACCAATAACGTATAGTTTTTTAAAAAATGTGTTCTTTTCAGCTCGTACCATAATTAAGATGAACTAAAAGTGTTCTGTACTGTATCTAGAAAAATATTTTGTATGTATTAATGTAATATTTTCTAGAAATTTCACATGATAGATGAAACAGTAAAGGAAGACTTTGCTGTTTATATGTATCATAGAATTTTAAATTTACATATGCTTATGTGTTTTAAGCAAATTTGGAAATCAGCAAAACATAGTCAGTTACAAAATAACACTCTTTTCCTGCAAATACATATTTGAGCAATATTCATGGTGAGAAAGAATTTATTAAAAAAGCAAATATTTGAGAAATATTTGTCTTAATTATATGATAATTATTTAATTTGTCAACTCAGTGCTTCTCAATGCCAGTCTAGAAGTGAAAGATACAGTTTTAACTTATTGTGCTCATACCTAGTGAGGAAGGAGGACATAGTAACAAGTCAGTGTGATAAGTGACATGATACAGGTGATCTCAGGGGTCTCCAGGAGGACTGAGAACAGGCACTAGTGTAGATTGCAAGCAGATGAGGTGAGCTGGGCTGGATAGCCTCAGAGTAGTCGACTAGGAGGACAGGGTGGTGAGCGGGAGTGGGAGGGCAGACAGAGATAACAGGATGTGCAAAATAAGTTTGAGCAGCTAGTTTCTTCCTCAGGTTGTCTACTCTCGAAGAAAATAGGACTATCATAAATTTGAATTTTGTCAGTTTAAATATTGCTCAACAATTGGAAAGTCTTTTCAAAATTGATTTCCTTTTCATACACTTTGCAAAGTCAGGAGTAGAGAAATGATGAAGAAAGACTGCCTTACTCAATTGCCTTTGCTGCAACTCAGTAAAATCTTCAAAGCCTTTGACCCAGTGTGGTTCATATATATGGGAAACACTTTCTTCAACAGTCAGCATTTTCTTCAACAGTCAGCATTTTCTTCAACAGGAGATTTTTGGTTACATTTTTATAAAATCTCATCTCTTTGTATCAACAATCCCTATTCTTTTTAAAAAAATATATACTTTATTGATGTTTTACAGAGAGGAAGGGAGAGGGATAGAGAGTTAGAAACATCGATGAGACAGAAACATCAATCAGCTGCCTCCTGCAGGTACACCTCCTACTGGGGATGTACCCGCAGCCAAGGTACATGCCCTTGACCGGAATCGAACCTGGGACCTTTCAGTCCACAGGCCAATGCTCTATCCACTGAGCCAAACCAGTTAGGGCAACAAACCCTATTCTTCAAGTCTCACTTTTTCTGTGTCAAATTGGGGGGGGGGGATGGAATAAAAGCTTCAATATTAGAAATACTATTTTTTACTTATTTACAAGTAGCATCTTCCTTGTAGATGTAATAAAGAAGGACTGGGCAAGTAGAGGAAGAATAATTTCAGTGTTCCTCTCAAATTTAATCTTTTATTGACAAGCCACTTATTTTTTCTGTAAATGCTCAATTCGTAAAGCTATTAAACTTGAATGGTGCCCTGCCAGCATGGCTCTGTGATTGAGCATCAACCTATGAACCAGGAGGTCATAGTTCAATTCCTGGTCAGGGAACGTGCCTGGATTGTGGGCTCCATCCCAGTGCAGGAGGCAGCTGATCAATGATTCTCTCTCATCATTGATGTTTCTATCTCTCTTTCTCTCCCTTCCTCTCTGAAATCAATAAAAATATGTTTTTAAAAACACATTTAATGGTAATTCATAATGAATTTCTGTTGCCACATTCCCATTTTAGTTCAAATAACTAGAAGAAAATAAGGGATATAAATTTCTTGTTTTAGGTTAAAATTGCCCTTCATATTCAATCCATAAGAGCAAAAATGTTGTACGTGTTTAGTATATCTGAATTATTAATGGAAACAGTCACTTCTCTTTCCTGTTGACATTTATTTTTTGTACATGTTGTTCTTCTCTAAATCTTTCTCTTAAAAGTCATCTTCTTGCAAGAGCTCCTAAATATACTATAAATTTAGTCACCATAGACCCTCAGAAAAAATGAACTTTATTCAAATTAAAGCTAATAAAAGAAAATATGCAATTTTTGAAGTCTCAGTCTCAAGCTGGAGAAAATTTAGGTAACATTATAAAGAAAAATAGTTTCAGACCTGGACTTGTTGACATGGGTTCAATATCTGGTTCTATCACTTTTTACCTTGGACAAATTAATTAACTCTAGTGACCTTCACTTTTCTTTTCTATAAAATGTGATTGATAGTATCTGCCCTTTTACCCACCTACTTACCTACCTAATTAGAGATTAGCATTTAAGTATATAAAAGAGTCTTGAAGCTAAACGTGTTTTACAAATTCTAGTTGTTATGGCAAAGATGATCAATGTACAAAATATTCTTAAAGTGAGAGGCACTACATATATGAAACTATATTTTATACAAAGTTACTTAGTACAGATCAGTGCATAACAAACATTTTCTAAATAGGTTATGCTTTCATTCTCTCAGTTTTTCTTTCAAGTCTGTTTAGTTCCCATTTGTTCCGATTTACTGCTAGACTTTTCTGCTATTCTGCATGTGTTGGTATTCAGTGATGTCTGATTATTCTTCCTGCATGCACAGGCCCAAAGGGACAGTCAGTTCTCAGCCAACTTCAGTAACCTACATCTTACTTTGGACATCTCCTCAGATGCATATTCTGATTTTAAATTTCTGTGTCATTAGAACACGCATAAGTGGATATTAGTTTTATATACTATGATTAACTGATAAATTTATATAGTGGAATTTTTGTGGTGCCAATATTTTCAGTTTTATGAATGACATGTATCATATTTGTCTTATAAACAACTTTAATTCATTATTATTATTTCTGTTTTCTCACAAAATAATATTTAGCAATTATCTTCAATTTTTTTAATAATAACTAGAGGCCCAGTGCACAAAATCATGCGTGGTTAGCGTCCCTAGGCCTAGCCTGTGATCAGGGCCATGTTCTAACCGTTTGCCAGTCCCCAGTTGCCACTGATTGATTGGAGCCTGCAGGCCAGGGGGAGGGACCAAGCAGTCTGCCTTCCTCCCGCTCGCCAGTCCCCAGTTCCACCCCACCACAGTCACGGATTGATTGGAGCCTGAGGGCTGAGGGGAGGGACCAAGAGGTCTGCCTTCCACCCGCTCGCCAGTTGCCACTGTCACTGATTGATCGGAGCCTGGCCGCCCTGATTGGTGTGTTGGGGGCAATCGGCCAGGATCAGGCCGGTTAGCTGGCCACAGTGGGTGTCATAGCGACCAGTCATTAGGTCGTTATGGTTGTGATGGCGTTACAGTCTCTGGCTTTATATATATATAGATAGTACTAAATTGTATTAAGTATACACCATATGCCAACCCTTTTAAAGAAATGAAATCATTTACTCTTCACAACACTTGAGGTATGTGTTATTTCCCCCCCATTTTACAGATGGGAAAATTAAGCCATAGAAAAGATGTCTGGAGGCAGGATATCATCACAGTTAAACATGCACACCCCTTTTTCAGAAAGACTGGGTTAATTCTTATTCACCTATTATTATCTTTACATCCTTAGTCAAATCACTTACCCTTTTTGTGCTGTAGTTTTCCCATATGTAAAATGGTGAAATGATAACACAAACTTCCTAATGTGAGAATTAAACACTGTCTTTCCTCTGAATGGCATTTTAGGTTCTCTTAACCATATGTTCAAAAATCTGCCCACATATTTATTGTTCATTTTCTTTCTTTCCATTATCAGTGGTATTTTTAATGAGACAATTCTCTCAGAAAATACAAAGTACTATTTGATGATTTAATACCTTATATTTTGGTATTTAGTAAACACCATGGAATCCAAAGACTGGCTCCAACATTTTAATTTTTGGAGCCTACGATACTTTAGTCTCCCAATGAGAAAGTGATTTCAAGTGAAACCCAGTTCCCAGATTTATTTCATTTTGGTTAAAACTATAGCAAAGTACCCTTTAGCACTCTGCAGGTATTAAGCCCCAAGTGGCATGCTTACATGATACACATTCCTTTTTATTATATCGCTACTTAGCTTAAACGTTCACTTCCTTTCGCCATTATTAAATGCACTTACCAGCTAAAGATATAACATAAAGTTATTTTATTGCTAGAGCTATTAAATTGTCCTAGCTTGAAGTCTGAAACAACTTTATTAAAATCCTAAGAATAAGAACAATAAAATCTTGCATGTTATTTTAGCCTTTTAGAAGGTCATTGAGAAAATGATAATGTATCAATATTGATTGTGCTTCTGGAAAATGATTTCTTATATCAAAAGTCCACCATCATTCAGCCTGCTCTCCTCTCTCTTGCTAGGCACCAGTATCTTCACAGTCTATGAGGCCGCCTCCCAGGAGGGCTGGGTATTCCTCATGTACAGAGCAATTGACAGCTTTCCCCGCTGGCGTTCGTACTTCTATTTCATCACTCTCATATTCTTCCTTGCATGGCTTGTGAAGGTACTGTAAAAATTCGTCTGTGATTTCTAACAATAAAATCTGTGCTTTCTGACAGCTTTTGTAGATCTTTTGTTTTAGTTTGCGATTGCCCTCTCTCATTCTCATTACCATTTGGTAAATGTGGCTTGTAATTTTCTTTCAGAATGTGTTTATCGCTGTCATCATTGAAACGTTTGCAGAAATCAGGGTACAGTTTCAGCAAATGTGGGGGTCAAGAAGCAGTACTACTTCAACAGCCACCACCCAGGTACAGTATCAGGGGTTGATGTCACCACCCATTTAAACACAGACATTTCTATCTTCACCATCAATGGGGCTTGTTGGAACTTGAGGGAGCCCTGTTACAATGGCCTTCTGCAATCAGACTCACTGAGGGACTCATTAAATAATAGAAGTGCAAGGACCCACACCCTGAACAACCAATCGGGCTTTCTGAGTGATTTGGGCAATGGCATCTATACTTTTAGCAGCTCCCTGAGTGGTTTTGATACAAAACTAGATGGCCACCATACTTTTTATGTACTTTTGATTTGATTCTTCCATCACCAGTCCTTAAAGGGCTTGCAGATAAAACATAGAAACTGTGTAAGTCCCATTTTTATAAATGTTTATTCATATAATTGAAAACCAATACAATGGCACTTATGTATAGAATTAGAATTTTTGGAAATTTTATTTCATTCAGAATGAACCAATCACAGTATAGCAAATTATGAAGGCCACTCAACCCCAAATGCATGCCTGTGATTTTTGAGAAATCACTACATATTTGGAAGGCTTCTCCCTATGCTCCCAAGAAGTTGGAAGTGCCCTAGAATTTGACAAAAAGTAGCAGGACAGTTGTTATATGAGAGGGCAATTCAGATTCAATGACTTTGTTTTTGGTTTGGTTTTGTGTATTTGTGTTATGTTGTATGGGTGTGTGTTTAGGAAGAGAAAGGACAGGTTTATATACTATCTTCTTCTAGCATGAATCTTTATAAAAGAGAGACAAAATAAAAATTTATGAATTGAGAATGAAATTATTTTAATGCCTTGTGACTATTATTTTATAAGTTTGTAAATACTTTTATAGGCCTATTGGTACAAAGGTATTTGTGAAAGATCCAAGGTACACATTTTATTTTGAAAATTTTCAAATTATTCTTCTAATAATTATATGCTAATGCTATTAAACATGCTAATATTTGGAAAAGCCTTTGTGCAGCATCTTTATGATGCTGTGAAAGTTTGAATTGTCTAGGCAATTCATTATAAATGAAATAGTAGTAATATTATTCAGTTTTGACAAACAACTATTCAGATTTCCATGAAAGATTTTTAAAACATTATCTGGGCTATTTCACAGGTGGCATGTAGGAGACCCTCCAAAGAGTCAACCACATCTAGTTCCTGTTTCTTCTCTCATCTCTTTTAGTAAGCTATGAGAAGTAATAAAGTTCCAAGTTCATTCTGACATGTCTTTTAAGTAAGGTGACAACCTCTCAAAGGTGTTTTCCGCTCTGTATGAGAGAGGAAGAGGGAGAGAGAGAGAGAGAGAGAGAGAGAGAGAGAGAGAGAGAGAGAGAGAAACTTAATGGATCATAGAACTATGAACTCAGCACAGAACTTACATCAGTGTTCCTGAGAGATGACCTAACATGTCTTTAAAACCATATTATGCTTATTAAGTGAATCTTATTTATAAAACCACAGCTGGAAGAGTAGTGTTTGGAAGTGCCACCAAATCAGCCAGCAGTTACCATAGAAAGTGAAATGTGAAGAGACTGCCAGCAGAGTTGTACAACGTTGTTTTGATGCAAAATTGTACATAATCTGGAGAAAGAAGCTGGTAATTCAGAGTTCTGTCAGATATGCATCTTGGTATTCAGTTAAGGTAATCACACAGAGAATTGTGAAAAACCTTCATTAAGAAAAATGCTGTGGCTGAGGACCCGGTTGCTAAGCAACTGATGAAGCTCCTGCAGCAGCCCTTGGTGCAATACCACTTGAGCTGCCTGGAAACAGGCCCAGCCCCGCCCCGCCCCGCCCCACCGAGCCAGTCTTCAGGTGGCCCAGAGGCTGTGTTTGTGAAGAAGGAGAGAGACATCATTTGCCATGATTCTGTCACACTTGTAAAATCTGACAGAACTCTGTGCACAAGAAGCTCTCATTCAATGGTTTAAAACAATAAATCACAATTTCTAAGTCTAATAAAACAGACTTTAAGAAAATAAAATAAAGACAGTTGTATTGGCCGAAACCGGTTTGGCTCAGTGGATAGAGCGTCGGCCTGCGGACTGAAGGGTCCCAGGTTCGATTCCGGTCAAGGGCATGTACCTGGGTTGCGGGCACATCCCCAGTGGGGGATGTGCAGGAGGCAGCTGATCGATGTTTCTCTCTCATCGATGTTTCTAACTCTCTATCTCTCTCCCTTCCTCTCTGTAAAAAATCAATAAAATATATTTAAAAAAAACAGTTGTATTGTAAAGCACACAGCTGTTCAGAAATGAAGTCAGTTCTTGCCTTTCTGTAGTATTTGGAACACTTGCTGCTTTTCTGTATATTATTCTCATAGAAGGGCTAATAGGGTCCTAGGCTTGATGCACCTATGATATTTAAGTCTACAGATTTTCCCGGGAGGCTTTGTGTGTAGAAAGAAAATTATACACATCAACAGGATAAGGAAGGGTCTTTCTGACATCTTAGGTGGTTCAATAGGAATTTGCTCTGATGTGGACTGTTCTGAGGCAAAAGAGAATCCCTGGTGAGAACTGTGTTGTTTATAAGTAGGAAGAGGCAAGCTGCCTCAGAGTCACAGCATAGGAACAAATTACAGAAAAAATAATGCTAGAGGTCTTATGGAGGCCACAATACAAAATGTAACAGGAAAACAAAAGGAAAGTGATGTGGATATTTTCAGATTGGTAATCATTAATTTGCCTGAACTCTCATGGGGATGGTGACATTTTATACCTGCATAATTATCAGACATGGGTCACTGTGGCCACACATTCAGTTGTATCTTGGGTTAAAGTGCAAGAAATTCATACAGCCATGATGTAATAGCCCCCTGTGTCCCTCAACAACAAGACTACTACCCATGCCACAAGTTTCTAAGGATGTTCTCCCTGAACTGGATTTTGAATTATGCAGATGTGCTGGTAGAAATTATTATGGACAGCTCTGGCTGGTGTGGTTCCATTGGTAGGAACATCGCCCCTTACACAGAAAGGTCACAGGTTTGATTCCCAATCAGGGCACATACCTGGGTTGCAGGTTCGATCCTCAGAGGCAACAAATCAATGTTTCTCTCTACATTGTTTCTCTTTCTTTCTCTCTCTCTCTCTCTCTCTCTCTCTCTCTCTCTCTCCTCTCTAAAAATCAATGAAAATGTCCAAAGAACTTGTATGCATATATGCATAGCCCATGGACACAGGCAATAGAGTAGTGAAGGCCAGGGGTGGGGGTGGGAGAAGGGGTCAATGGGGGGTAAAAGGGGACATATGTAATACTTTCAACAATGAAGATTTTTTAAAAATCAATGAAAATGTCCTCAGGTGAGGATAAGAAAAGGAAGAAATTATTCTGGACATAGTAGTGTCCCTCTATCCCAGTCCTTTACTCTCATTCCTCAGCTATCTGCTGCTGCAGCCATGTGGTCTTCTGATGGAGACTGATTCATGATAAAGATGAGCTTATCTTACTTTGCCTGGAGTAGAACGAAAGAACTGCTAAGACTTAGGGCCACACAAGGCTACGTTTTATTGTATAGTGATAAGAGACACAATATTGATTGCTCTGACAATCAATTCATACCTAAGTTTTATATGTGAATCATGGTCCAATAGAGTCATATTATGGGATTGGTAAGTAAATATCCTGATTGTCTAAAGAGGGTCATAATTTCTGGGTCTGTCATGATCTCTGGTTCAGCACGCTTGCTGGCCCATGTTTGCTGAATTAATATTCCCTAATTAAGACATAAAACTGCAAAGGATAGAGTTCATATAGGATCAAAGAACATTTAGGAGTTCTTCTTTCTTTGTAGTTCTGTGAACATGTAGTTCTTAAAATTTGAATATCTACAATACCTAAACAACTTCTATATGAATATGCAGTGCTGGGTTAAAGTAGAAATGTGTATATGAAAAGACATACAATCAAAAAAAAGAATTTAGTCTCCAAAAAAGACTGTGTACAACATTATGCAGAATGACAATACTTGACTAAATATTTGTTTACTGTATTCCAAGACCATTGTTTTCCACACGTATATACATCTTTAAAATAAGTGAGAAAGTAATTTAATGAAAGTCTATTCTGGGAAGGTCTATTCTAGCATGACACAATAGTGATTCTAATAAGAACCTGTGGCAATGGAACAATATACTCATCATATGTGCGAATTACATTTTGTGAGGCTGAGGTCATTGAATATTATTATTTAATAGTGAAATCAAGTGTACAATCTAATTATTTTGTGTTATATTGATGATTACCTATTAAAAACCACAACTGATTTTGAAAGAATCCAAAGAGTATAAGAATTTCAAATTAATTTTAGATTTTTCTTTGCATTAATGTGTACGTGCATGTGTGAGTGTGCACATACTACAAAGGACAGAAAACCCCAAGTAGCTTATGTAAAACTAGAGGCCCGGTGCATGAACTTTGTGCCTTGGTAGGGTCCCTAGGCCTGGCTGGCAATCAGAGCCAATCGGGGCCTTCCAGCTGCTGGCCGGGGCCTTCCTTCATTCTGTGCCACCCCCTGGTGGTCAGTGCACATCATAGCGAGCAATCGAACTCCCGGTCTCCTGGTCGAACTCCTAAGGGGACACTTTGCATATTAGGCATATATATATATTTCTCTCTCATGTCAAGTTGGAGGGGGTCATTTGGAGTTGGTGTGGTGCGAATCCTAACTCCTTGCACTTTTTGCTCCACCTTGCATAGTCTCCATCCCCAAAGTTGCCTCATAGACTGAGTTGGCTGCTTTATCTTTAACCCTCACATCCATATTCCAAAAAGCTAGAAGAAAAAAAAATAAAAAGAACATTTCTGCTTACTTCTCATAGGCTAGCATGTAATTACATGGTTAAGATAAGTTTCAAAAAAGGAAACCTTATTTCGTGTATGTGGCTTAGTGATCTCATAAAAATTTTCTTACTTTGGAAGACAGAGAGAAGAGAGATGGAGGGACAGCTGGCAGCCCCTGCCACTCTCCCCTAAGGACTTGAGTCCCTAAGGATCCCTGTTTTGAGATATCCCATCACCTATGTCACAGAGCTGCTGGTATATTAACCAAGCTAAATGTTGTTTCATAATCCGGGGGACTCGAGAGAAATGGAACATGTTTGCATTTCCTTCACTTTATTTCATACAAAGAAGTGACCCTGAGAGAACACTTTTACAAAAATTAAATAGATTCATTTGATTTTGGTCCACCGGAAAAGAAATAATTTAACAGAGAAAATTGGTCTGCTACTGATCAAAGCGAATGCATACCCCAGGAATCCTTTGTGCCATGACAAGAGAGTACAGGCTGCATGTACAGAGGGGCTTTAGCTAGTCACTGACAGGACTGCTTTTGTCCTTTCCTTTTGTCTTTTGTATTTTTCTCCTTAAAAGGAGACTCCCAGAATTTTGACAGGAACTTTAAAAGGCACTTTAATAGGTTTGCATTTCAACCAGTGTATGTATTCTGGAATGAGCCTGTTCATAAGGGATGTGCTTAATTCTACCACTAAGAATGCCTTTTAAAATTAATTCTAAAGTGAGGAAATTCATTCAACCTGCCTTTCAGTCACAGCATAGAAACAAATTACAGGGAAATTAATGCCAGAGGTTTTGTGGAGGCCATAATATAGAAAGTAACAGGAAAACAAATGGTAATGGAATCTTTGTTATCCTCTCATATTTCCATCAACAAAACCCCTTTTGGACACAGAGTCAGATTAACACGAGGACATAGTATGGCTAAGATGTTTACTTATGTGCATGAAACAGCAATTTCCGGCAGGAATAAAACAATGAGTGCTTGTACTGTCTTTTCTTAGAAAAATAAAATTCTGAATTTCACATTATACCCCTACCACCCCAACACACACACACACACACACACACACACACACACATACATCCCTAAGAAATTGAAAGTGGGAAATGTCTTCCAGCTGAATGTAATATTGACAGACGACTAATTTTTGAGATAGTAGAATATGCAGTAAGATAATATCCTAGGCATCCACCAACCTAAATATCCAATTCAATGGATGTCAGATTTTAGTATCTGATATTAAGTATCCTATCCTGAATTTCATCACTTATGTATTTTAAGCCAAAAGAAACTACTTTTTCCCTTTATTAATATGTACATAAAATTTCTCCTGAGCAGATTAATTTGGCCTAGTTAAAATAATTCACAAAGTCTATTAAGTGACACGTCAGTCTCCTGTCATTAAAATAACACCAGCCTCAACCCCTATGCCACATGTTCAAATCTTATATTATTTATCCTGAGAACATTTTTCTGTTAGCTCAGTGAGAGGTGTCCACTAAATAGAGATAAAAATTCACCATTTCTAGTAAAAACACAACAGACACAATGCTTTGGAATTCTAATTTTCATTTTCTACCAGATTTAATATGTAATAATAATATATATAATGGGGATAAAATGCCTACTTTGAAGTCTTGTGGAAAAGAATATTTGGGTAATTATATATAAAATATATGTAAAACAGAAAGGACCTGATACATAATTAGTGCTCAATAAATGCAAGTTATTGCCATTCTCTTTTTTTTTAGTTGCAGTAGATTTTACTTTTTATTTTTTTAAATTTATCTTTATTATTGAAAAAGTATTACAGATGTCCTCCCCCCCCATTGTTCCCTTCCTCCCCACTCCCACCCCCTCCCCAGGCCTTCACAATACTATTGTCTGTGTCCATGGGTTATGCATCTATGCATATAAGCTCTTTGGTTCATTTCTTCCTGCCCCACCCTCCCGCCTTCCCTCGGAGATTCCTCAAGTCTAGTCCATGCTTCCATGTCTCTGGATCTGTTTTATTCTTTGGATTATTTTGTTCATCAGATTCCACATATAAGTGAAATCATGCGATACTTGTCTTTCTCTGGCTTATTTCACTTGTATTACTATTATTCACTTAAGTTTTCAGTGTGAGGATGAGCATAATTGAAAAGACTCGGGTTTTAAACATAAATCTATAAGAAAACAAATCTTTGATAAAAAATATAAAATGTTGGAGATAAAAAGTTACAGTTCTCAGTGTTCCTTACTAAGTGTCTCTGACTCATCTCCCTCTTTGTCTTGAAGATGTTTCACGAAGACGCTGCTGGCGGATGGCAGCTGGTAGCTGTGGATGTCAACAAGCCTCAGGGACGCGCCCCAGCCTGCCTCCAGGTGCAGTACAATGCCATTTTTAAAACTCACTTTGACTTTTATTTTATACAAGGAAATCCACAGCTCTCTAAGCTCTAGATCTTCCCAAATTTGTGGTCCTGGAGTTAGGCAGTGTTTTACTTCATCCTGTATTCCCAGGACCTACCAGTTTTTAGATACACAGTAGGGATTTGGTAGCTATTGAATAAATGCACACAGGTAATAATAGTATGCCAGAAGTATTGAATCAGTGAAAAATGTTGTTGTCATATTAAATCATAAACAATACTTGTATTAATTCTCTATTCTTGCTGTAACAAATTACCACAAACTTAGTGACTCAAAGCAATACAAATTTATTATTTATAGCTTCACAGGTCCCAAGTGGGTTCCACTGGTATCAACAGGCTGCACTACTTCTAGAGGGAAAAACTGTTTCCTTGCCTTTTCCAGTTTCTAGAGCAGGGGTGGGCAAACTTTTTGACTCGAGGGCCACAATGGGTTCTTAAACTGGACCGGAGGGCCGGAACAAAAGCATGGATGGAGTGTTTGTGTGAACTAATATAAATTCAAAGTAAACATCATTACATAAAAGGGTACGGTCTTTTTTTTTTTTAGTTTTATTCATTTCAAACGGGCTGGATCCGGCCCGCGGGCCGTAGTTTGCCCACGGCTGTTCTAGAGGCTTCATTTCTAGGCTTCATGAAGGAGTCTGTGATGGTGTCTTCATAATACCCCCAAATGGTTAAAAAGCCATCACATAATTTTGTCTTTATGAAGTCAAACTGGTTTAGTTAATTTTTTTTCCTCTTGAATTGGAGACAGGGGGGAAGGTAGGCATCCATTTTTGTGATGGTATATCCTAATATGTTACCCTAGTATTCTAACCAGTATTTGTTATATTCCACTCAGTGATTATAGACATTAAGAGTCATGAGGTTGCGAATTTGTAAAAAAAAAAATTGCATAGGTCATCCAGTTTAACCTACAACCCAAGGAATATCTACCACAGCGTAGACTCTCAGATTTTAATATGCACATTAGTCATTGGGGGCCTTTTTAAAGATGCAGACTTTGATTCAGTAGGTATGGGAGCAGCCTGAGATCCCTGCATTTTCAGTACGCTCTCAGGAAACTGATGGCTCAGGATTCCCAGTTTGAGGAGCAAGGCTCCCGAGTATTTTTGACAGATATTGCTGCCTTGGGGATGATTCTATATTGCCTCTTCTTCGTATTTGGTCATTCCAGCTGTCACATACAGAAATCAGTCATTCTCAGATCAAAGCCAAAGTAAACATATATACAAAACTTCTCAGATTTAAAAAAATATATCAACCAAAATGACATAGTGATGGAAAAGAAATTTAAAAATTTAAGTACAAATGCAGGACCTGAAGAGTCTTATACTAAATATATATATACTAGAGGCCCAGTGCACAAAAATTTGTGCACTCAGGGGGGGTGGGGGTCCCTCAGCCCAGCCTGTGCCCTCTCACAGTCTGGGACCCCTCGGGAGATAACGACCTGCTGGCTTAGGCCTGCTCCCGGGTGGCAGAGGGCAGGCCCAATCCCTAGGTGCAGCCCCTGGTCCGGCTCAGAGCAGGGCCAATTAGGGAGTTGGGGCGCCGCCCCCTGTCATGCACAGAGCAGGGCGGATCGGGAGGTTGCGATGCCACCCTCAGTCATGCTCAGGGTAGGGCCGATTGGGGGGTTGGGGCACCGCCCCCTGTCACACTCAAGGCAGGGTCAATGGGGAGGTTGCGGCGCCACCCCCTGTCACGCACAGAGCAGGGCCAATCAGGGGATTGGGGCGTTGCCCCCTGTCACTCACAGAGCAGAGCCAATCAGGGGCTTGGGGCGCTGCCCCCTGTCATTCACAGAGCAGGGCCCATCAGGGGGGTTGGGGCTCCGTACCCTGTCACGCACAGAGCAGGGTCGATCAGGGGGTTGGGGAGCTCCCCCCTGTCACGCACAGAGTAGGGCCGATAGGGGAGTTGGGGCACCGCCCCCTGTCACACACAGAGCAGGGCAGATCAGGGAGTTGGGGCGCCGCACCCTGTCACACTCAGGGCATGGCCAATGGGGAGGTTATGGCTCTATCCCGTCACACACAGAGCAGGGCCCGTGGGGGGGGGGGTTGGGGCGCCACACCCTGTCACACACAGAGCAGGGCCGATCAGGGGGTTGGGGCGCCTTCCCCTGTCATGAACAGAGCAGGGCGGATAGGGAGGTTGTGGCCCCGCCCCCTGTCACACACAGAGCCGCAGGGCGATCAGGGGGTTTGGGCGCTGCCCCCTGTCACACTGATCCCAGTGCTGGGAGGCATATTACCCTTTTACTATATAGGATAGAGGCCTGGTGCACGGGTGGAGGCCGGCTGGTTTGCCCTGAAGGGTGTCTTGGATCAGTGTGGGGGTCCCCACTGGGGTGCCTGGCCAGCCTGGATGAGGGGATGATGGCTGTTTGCAGCTGGTCACACACCCTTCAGGGTGGGGGTCCCCACTGGGGTGCCTGGCCAGTCAGGGTGAGGGGCTGAGGGCCGTTTTCAGGCTGGCGGGTGACTGAAGCTCCCAACCGCTCCTTTTTTTCTTTCTTTTTTTTTTTTATTCTGGGCCAGCTTTAGCTCTGAGGCTTGGCTCCAGCTCTTAGGCCTCAGCTGCTGAAAGCAAGTATCTGGTTTGTTTGGGTTCTATAATCGAAACACTGTTTCAACTCCAGCTCTGAGATCACGGCTGGCTGAAAGCAGGTTTCTGGGGTTTTGTTTAGCTTCTATATTTGTAACAATGTTTCATACTGCAAGCTCAGAGGCCCGCAGCGGCAGGCGGGGAACATTGGAGTCCTCCGTCACTGAAGCAAGCAAGCCTCCTATTCGCTTCAAGCTGCCTGGCTGCCGGCCGCCATCTTGGCTGGCAGTTAATTTGCATATTTCCCTGATTAGCCAATGGGAAGGGTAGCGGAGTGACACCAATTTGCATGTTTCTCTTTTATTAGTGTAGATATATATATATATATATCCTCCTGAGGAGGCCTTGTCGAAGTCTGGAAAGCAGATCCACTTGGGAGTGGAAGCTAGAGACTTATTTGGAGGCTGCAGCGGTGCCCTGTTCTCAAATCCTTCCAGTTGTATTCTCCCCCCCTGGAGCCTAGACGGTTGGCTGCGCATCCACCTCAGAGCTGGGGACAGGGTCCTCCTTCCTCAGAGCCTTACTCCCGAAGCACCTGCTCACTGTTCGGTGTCCTGGCCAACGTTGCCTGTCTTCACTGGTTTTCACGAGCATCTTTATATTTCATTGTTTTCTGTTAATAACTGCAGTCCATGTGCCCTAGCGACATTGCCCTTTGGTAAAAATGCCTGCTTTCCAGTACTTTGCACATTAGCATACTCTACTTTTGAAGCTTTTCTTTATATATACTAATATATACTAATATATATTAGTATGTGTATATATACATATATATGTATTTATGTGTTTATATCTCTATATAAATTTTCTATCCATATTAAATAATATAGTTTGGAAAATCTCAAGTTATATAATACTATTTTGTGGCACTGAGTCAATGTAAACATTTTTCTTTACATTAATTTTTATAAGAAAATAAAAATTGAAGAGTATACATTTGGACTGTCCTACAGATACAAACATGAGTCTAAATGTAGTGTTGCCAGCCCTTCTACATTAAGAAGCCAATAGCCAGTTTCACACATTGGATGAATTGAGTTGAGTTGAAGTGGCCTGTTTCACTAGCAACTTCAAAGCTGGAGTTACTGGTTTGAATATTTAAATTTAGCTACTACACATACTTATCACTTTAATTCTTATTTAACATTTGAAAGTTATTACCTTGGAGAAAGCAAAGCAATGGTGATTCCAGTATATCAAAATCCATTGCAAGGGATTATTTTAATGACTCTACCAACAGGGACACGTAGACATTCAAACAAAATAAAACTAATTATAATGACAGCACCAAAGTGAAGCTGTGACAGTTACAAAACCAATTTTAAAGATTTTTGACAGCCATGCCTAAAAGCTTTGTTTGGACCTTTCAGTAATAACAGTTTACTTAAGACATAAGCCCAGAGCTAAGGAAAATAGAAAGAGAAAGTTGTGGCTTTTCTGTCATGCAAATGAAGTGGAAATCAGTTGAAATGAAAGGAGTATAGAAAGGGAATCATGGTTATGGAATTTGACTCTCACAAGAAAAACTAAATAACAATGAAAATTCTAATGAGAATAGAAATTTGCCAACTGACTTGCTTACTATGTTATGAAGGTCAGTAGTTTCTGCAAGTAAATTGACATACATTTAAATACGTTGATTGGCAGTTCTGGAATTTGATTTTATATTACCTCTAAAATCAAATCAAAGGCAAATGGATGTAGGAATGCCTCAATAGCCATGGTCTGCTTTTCCAATGGCTCTGTCATCTCTCAAGGTATTAGACATTATGACTTTTATTTGTCTCACTTGGTTGTGGACTCCATCAAATATACAACATAATTAATTCTTTGACCTTGGCCTATTAATTTCTCATTCCTGAATAGAAAAATACATGATTCACAGAATGGTACTTATTTTTGCTGCATATCTTTATAAAACACAATATGTAAGCACTATTCTAAGGGCTTTATCAATATTTACTTATTTAAAATTGATGACAACCTTTGGAGTAGCCACTATTTTCTTCACTTTACTGAAGAGAAAACTCAGTAAAATGAAGCACAGAGAGGCACACAGAGGTTTAAATGACGAGCCTAGAGCCCACAGCTTGTGTGTGGTGGAACTCCACACAATTTGTCTTACAGCCCAAGCTGCTAATGACCCCTGCAGGGCATTGAAGGCCACGTGACAACATGAATGTGGATGCAGAGAGACGGCACTCAGTGGTAGTCCTCTTCTTCCCATCCCCAGGTCTGCTTTAGTTAGCTTCTTATAATTGCAAAGACTGAAGAATTCTCAGGTCACATCAGAGGGTAAGGATATGTGCCCCTAAGTACTGAGAAGAAAGGAGGGGTCATCGGGAAAGAGTAGCATGGTGGCTCTGGTCCCCGGAGAAGGGGCACAGAAGGATGTGATGCAGTGGTTTGTTGTGCTCTCAGCTCCTTTCTTCCACAGATCAGCTTCTCTCCTGCTGCTGCCCAGGGCCTTCTGCCACTACTCTCTCCTTTTGTGTACTCTACCCCACAGCGGGCAGTTTGTTTCAGAATGGACTTTAAAAAAAATATGTATTTATATGTTTTCATTAATTTTGACTTTTCTCCACATTGTGTCTCTTATATATACTCATGAATTATACTAAAGATGCCATTAAAATAATCATCATCTTTGAGATATTTTTAGATCACAAAGTATAATTTAACCAAAAAAGTGTGCCTTTATCTATCTACCTACTTTTAAGTATTTTTTTCAATTACAGTTTACATTCAATATTATTCCGTATCAGTTTCAGATGTACAGCAAAATGCTTAGACATCATGTACTTTATAAAGTGGTCTCCCAATGTAATTATTACATAGTTATTATAATATTACTGTCTATGAATTCTGGCCCCATACATAGTTATTACAGTATTATTGACTATATTTCCTATGCTGTAATGGACTTTAAACAGACTTGGGTATGATTGCCGTCTCTGCTGTGTACTTGCTGTGTGACCTCAGACCAATGACTTAATCCCTTTAAACTCACTAGAAAAAATGAGCAATATATCCCATCATGTCAGGGCTATGGTGGAGATAAAAGATATAAAATAAAAAACATAATTATAGTATGGCCTGGAACATAGTAAGGATTCAATACACATTAGCCTTTATAATAATAGTCATTATTTTTGAATGTGAATTATCTCACTTCAGTGGAGGCAGTGGACTTAGACCAGACTTAGGTGAAAATTATGATTCCACCTTCAATACTTGTGTGATAGTCAGAAAATTATTTAACTTCTCTGAGACTCAGTTTCCTTCTCTAAAATTAGAGTAACTTCCTGGTGCTGTTATGGCATTGAATGAGTTAATTTATGTAAATCACCTACAACAGCTGCAGGCACATAGTGAATATAAATGTAAACATCGGTTATCATTGTATAATTTAAAAAAAATATTTATATAAAGTATATAAAGTTTCAGTTATTTGAGATAAATAAGTTCTATACAGCATAGTACCTATGGCTACCAATACTTTATTGTATACTTAGAATTTGTTAAGAGGCTATATCTTATGTTAAGTGTTCTTACTACTACTACTACTAATAATAATAATAATAAAGGAGGTGGGAGGAAACTTTGGAAGGTGACAGATATGTTTATGGCCTTGATGATGTTGGTTTCATGGGCGTATACTTATTCCCAAACTCATTGAATGTATATATTCAGTAGATACTGCTTTTTTATTTTATGTCAATTATACCTCAATAAAGTGGTTTAAAAATAAATTATTAAAAATAATAATTTAAATAAATAAATAATTTACAGAAGTAATAAAAAATAGACCTTAGGTTTCTCCCACTTTTCCAGTTTTATGATTATATATAAAATGTGTTTTTTAAACTATATTTTTATTGACTTCAGAGAGGGAGGGAGAGGGAGAGATAGAAACATCAATGATGAGAGAGAATCATTGATTGGTTGCCCCCTGCACGCCCCCTACTGAGCCTGCAACCCAGCTAGGTGCCCTTGACAGGAATCGAACCTGGGACCCTTCGATCTTCAGTCCAATGCTTTATCAACTGAGCCAAACCAGCTAAGGCTATCTAAAATGTTTTTTTTATCTTCAGTAGCATTTTCTCTTAACAGAATAAAGCAACAGTTGTTTTGTGACATCAGCTTTTTAAAAATAATTTCTTCATATAGTCACTATTAAGGATAAAAGCTACTTAACTCACCAATGAAAATTCAGATGTGGGCTATAACAAGTGAAATGAATATATTTTCCATTTTCAACTAAAAGTCTCCAAAACTACCTCCTTAGCCATTTTGCACTGCCTGAAGACAAAGATTCCTTTGCTAACACTATTCAGCAGTGATTGACATTCATCAAGTTATCTTAGAAGCACTGCTCTGCACAGCAGTGTGTCATAAAGATGTTGCATGTCCAGGTCTAGGCACACAATTATGTTTAATCGTAAGGGTTATTTCTTTGTTAACAGTTCATCTGTTTTGCCTCCTCAGCAAATGATGCGGTCATCAGTTTTCCACATGTTCATCCTGAGCATGGTGACGGTGGATGTGATAGTGGCTGCTAGCAACTATCACAAAGGAGAGAGCTTCCGAAGGCAATATGATGAGTTCTATCTTGCAGAGGTAAGCTGCTCACTGGGGTAAAGGTGCCTTTCATAAATGTGAAAATTAATTTCAATTTGTTAATTATTTGAGTTCAATCAAAGCTGTTTCTCAAGTGTTTCCCTTGGTCACTATGTTGCCTGATTTATTTCCTGTCACCATGAGCCTAAGTATCTTCCCCACAGTGTGTTGCATCATCAAGGTAACCCTTTGCCCTGGGTGTTTCTCTTGCCATCTGGCTGTTTTCCTATCCACCTCTCATGTTCTCTCCCTTTTCCATGTTGCTGTAGTCTGTTTCCTACTAAGTGTAAACAAGCACAGGTTCAGAAGGTTGTAAACAAGCAAGCCAGCTCAACAGTGCCAAGGACAGGGCTGGAGGGAAATTGAAATAGATAGTACAATAATTTCTCTACTAGAGACTGAGCTGTTACAACCTGCACTAAAGATGTCAAGCCAGAAGCAGATAGGTTAGTGATTTAATAAGCATCTTCTACATACCAGCTAGAATTTTAAAGTAGTACTTCTTACTGTTTCAGTAACTTTGTTAATATTTGATTCTTACATATTTTTACTGACTTCCAGAGACCACTATGTTTTGTCATTGTGAAAAATTATTTCTAAAATATATCTTGAATTCAGTGATTACATCTTTATGGAAAAATTGGTTGATGTAGTATATAACTCTTTAGAAACCCATTCATCATATAAGTGAGGTATACATATACTAAATACATATATGAAAAAGTAAACTTAAAAAGCAGAAAAATTGCCATTTATTTTTATTACAAAAGCATTTTTCACATAGAAAATCAATTTGCCATAAAGTTGAGTCCTCCTAGATATCGAGAATCCCCCCAGTGCATTTAAAAATTGATTTGGTTCATAAAAATTCAATCCACTCACGCATAAACTTTTCAGGAAAATAATTGATGTTATACACTTAGCTATAATAATAAAAGCATAATATGCTAATTAGATCAGACAGCCGAATGACCTTTCGGACGTCATTCCGGAATTCTGGATATCATTCTAGATGAAGCCACCATGGCAGGGGCCAAGGCAGAGGTGGTTAGGGGCGATCAGGCAGACAGGCGAGCAGTTAGTGGCGATCAGGCAGACAAGCAGTTAGGAGCGATCAGGCAGGCAGGCAAGTGGTTAAGGGCTATCCGGCAGGCATGCGAGTGATTAGGGGTGATGAGGCAGTCATGCAGAGTGGTTAGGGGTGATCAGGCAGGCAGGCAGGTGAGCTATTAGGAGCCAGCGGTTCCGTATTGCAAGAGAGTGCAGGCTGGGCTGAGGGACACCCCCCCCCATGCATGAATTTCATGCACTGGGCCTCTAGTTGAATATAAACATCTATGTGGGTATCAAGACGTTTTCAGAAGTCACTTATGAATTCCTCTCTTCATGGAGGCTTGTTTCCTGTAACAAAGTTATTATTAGTACCAAACTTTCGCTCGAGTGGAGTCTTTGTGATGTGATGCTGCCTAGTTGCTGCATGGTATATGGATCTTACAGTTTAGTAAAAAATATAGACAGTAAATAAGTTTTATATGCTGTGGAGGACCAATGAGAGGGCTCATGAAGAAATTATATGATTGAATAAAGAAGATGTCATATATACTAGAGGCCCAGTGCACAAAATTCGTGCACAGGGGGGTCCTTCATCCCGGCCTGCAACAATGCCAGCGTCCCTCACCCTGGCTTCCAGCCCAAGGCCCCTCCCCTCCCTCTGCATGACCAGGGTGTAGATGCTGGGCTCACGTTGCCGGGGCAATGCTGCCAAGGTCCCACCCCGGCCACTATGGGTGTCACCATCTTTGTTAAAGAGTGACAGTTAATTTACATATTGCTCTTTTATTAGATAGGATATAATGGAATATTACGCAGCCATAAGAAAAAATTAAATACTGCCATTTGCAGTAACATGGATGGGTCTTGAGAATATCATGCTAAGTGAAATAAGTCAGATGGAAAAGTCAAAACTCATATGATTTCACTCATCTGTGGGATATAAAACTGAAAGCAACAATCAGAAAAAAAGACCAAAAAACTCATGGACACAGACAACAATATGGTGGTTACCAGAGGGAAAGGGGCTGGGGGAAGTAGAAAAGGATAAGGGGGATAAAATATATGGTGACAGAAGGGACTTGACTTTGGGTGGTGACCACACAATACAATATACAGATGATGTATCATAGAATTGTACACTTGAAACCTATATAATCTTATTAACCAATGTCTTTTTAAAATAGGCAATTATAATCAGCACCTATAATTTTGTTACAAAACCATCACACAAAGAATGCTTTGTCATTAAAAGCAGAGGGGAATATGGACCAATAGTAATATTTGCTAGTGAATTTGTAATGCAGAGATTGAATGTTAAAGAAATTCCCATCAAATGATTTCTATTTGTCCTGTGAATAGGAAGCAAGGTCTCTATCCAGCCTGATGATGAGGCAATGAATTGGGAAGGTTGTGGAGAAAGGAGAGAGGAAGTGGGTACTGTGGAGAACGCAAAAAAGCTATTTAAAGATACATGAAATGCAATGTTGAAGATACAGTTAAATTTTGAGACTACAAATTTCTAGAGATACTAATTTAGACAGGTCTGTGACTTTCTTAGGCCTTGCATAAAGGGGAGAAATGCAACATTTAGATTGCTCCAGCTTTAGAGTATTTTCAGGCTTATAGAGCTGAGAAACAAGGGACCAGGAACTTTGGGTGGCTGGCAAAGGAGTTGAAGTGATGACCCTGTGGTCTAGGTTGGATATGAAAATAAGAAGAAAAAGGAAAGAACAAAATGAAGTATAGAGTCTTTAAATGGTCAAAGAAAGAATCGGTATAGTTGAAGTGATAGAATAAGATTTTGAAGAGCTCGAAGGTAAGATTTTGGTCAGAGAATGGGACCCAGGGTTTAGAATTTTAGAATAATTCTGGGTAAATACAAAATCTAGGGTTTTATATGGATATGAGTGGCTTAAACATAATGATGGAGTTGAGACAGAAATAGCAAGGAACTATCAAGCTAAGATGTTGGCTGAATCTTTACAATGACATTGAAGTCAATCCATGTGAAGCCAGTTCTTATGGAAAGGAATGTAGGCAGGGGCCTATGGCAGTGACGATAATAGAGGGCAGCCCCTGGGACTGTGTTGTAAGAAGATGTTTTAACCTAATGGAATATATGTCGAAGGGGCATGGAGGAGTACTGGATGGGTTGCTCTTCCTCATCCACATGTTATCCTACATGGGCCATCCTCTTCTCGAAAAGACTGTGGGGGAAGGTATGCATTTGGGAAAGAACCGGCTGAGGCTAGGACGGAGGAAGCTGATTATGTGAGTGGAGATTGAGAGCGTAGAAGGAATTGGTGAACATGGAACAAGACACCCAAAGGTTAGTTAAAGGCTCTGGTAGAATGAGGTGGAAAGTTAGGTGTGGTGGAAGAATTACACAGTAGTATTAGAACCAGAGACTAAAACTGCACTAATGACAAAATAAAAAACAGAAATGGCAACACATGATTGAGGTAATGTCAATCTCTCTAGAAGGAACAATGCTGGATATTATAGATTGCATTAATATTTCTTTGGTAACCCAGCCCAGGGTGGTGGCCAGTCATACGAAATCAACCCTGTAGAATAAATATATACACCATTTACTGGGAATGGAATGCTCCAGTAAATGTTACCTAATTTTTCCACATACAAAATTGGTCTGTTTTCTAATGTGTTTTTAATGTGTTAGCTCATTTATAATCATGCTGTAAAAAATTCCACCAAAATTTCAAATAACAATATTGTAGAATCTGCTGATACTATTTAAGTGGATTAGTAGAGTCCAGTGGTAGATGATAAATCCTTGTCATTTTCTTTTTTATATATAATATTAAGATTTTTTTCTAACTTAAAAAAAAACCAGAAATATAGGTTGTATAGCAGAATCTAGTACATATCATGTGTCTGTTAATTGTTGCTCCCATCTCAAACCACTGAAAGTGAATTTGATTTTAATAAACCAGATAGTGGAGATTTAATTCTCTGAATTATATAGGCATCACTATATTCTTGAACTACCGAAACATTCAGAATTGGTTTCACTTTGGTTGATTGATGTTGGGTGTCTGAGTGTTCCAAAGCATATTTGGTCTTTATTCGAATTACATTATAATTTTTTTATATGAAACTTGTGCTTGAATAAAAGTAGTTTGTTTCAAATGAGTGTGGATAGGTTGTTTTAATCAAACTTAATTTTTAATAAAATATTCTTTTTTTTCCAAAAAGTTTATAAAGGTGGTTTGAGTTTAAGCCAAGGGTCAATAAACTTTCTTAAAGAGCCAGAGAGTAAACATTTTAGAAAATGTTTTTTTAAAATATATTTTATTGATTTTTTACAGAGAGGAAGAGAGAAAGATAGTCAGAAACATCCATGAGAGAGAAACATCGATCAGCTGCCTCCCACACACCCCCTACTGGGGATGTGCCCACAACCAAGGTAAATGCCCTTGATCGGAATCGAACCTGGGACTCTTCAGTCCACAGACCGACGCTCTAGCCACTGAGCCAAACTGGTCAGGGCTTAGAAAATGTTTTTTAGGCCACTGTCTCACTACTAAACTCCACCACTGCTGTGCAAAAGTGAGTGTGGTCTCAGAATGGTTGTGTTCCAGTAAAACTTTATTTATAAAAATAAGCAGTGAGCTTGATCTTGGTTTAAGCTATAGAAACTCAGAGCAGGTCAGCTAACATCTTCATGTTTTAAAATCAAACACAGTAAAGCTAATGACAATAATAGCTACCAATTTTTTTGGACCTTCTATTATTTTGCTAAGTGCTTTAAAGGAATATATTATCTTATTTAGTCCTCAAAATGGCTATAATGACAGCAGTTCAAGTTTATGGACTATAATGATACAGTAATTAAGGCAGTAGCATTATGTAATATTTTAGAAAGTTTCTTTTTAAAATAGATTACAAAAAGCCATGAGATTTTAAGGAAATAATTTCTTGAGCTC